GGAGCTACTGACCCACCTTGCTGCCTGCCTTACCTGAGGGAGGACTCTGCTGCCTACTTCCTTGACCTTGGACCTGGAAGCCCAGGTGAGTTAAAGGACTTGCAGTATATTAACTGTTCCTTGGAAGTGATTTGAACTGAACCCTCTGTACGGCAGTGTGAACTGTTATATTCCTTCTTGCTGTATAAACCTAGCCTCTTATATACCATATATACTCGAGGATAAGCTGACCAGAATATCAGCCGAGGGACCAAATTTTACCACAAAAACGGCATTAAAAATGTGCTGAAACACTCGGTTTATACACAAGAATATACGGTATATATAAAACCATGAGTTCTGGTTTCCTTTCTCTACCCTAACACAGTGCTGTCAACCATCTAAACATGAGTTTGAAAAATGCTTCCAAGAATGGAATCACTGATTTGACAAATGTATTAAGTGTAATGGAGAATACTTTAAAGGTGATACAGTTGTTTTGTAAAAACATTTAAATACATCGCTTTAGGGGGGGGAAATTATGTGGGGTTTTTTTGGGGGGGTAACCTTGTATATTTATTTTCCTATTTTCTTTGCTTCTTGTGACACGTGTTAGTTTGTAGATAGTTTAGCATTAGTGAATGAATATTGTTGAAATTGTTGCTTTGTGTCTAACTCTCATTATTTTCTCAAGTCACTTAGGTCTTTAAATATGTAGAAGTGAACTTTCCATGTAGTTTACTCTGAAAAAATTAAAGGCATATTTTCCCTTTTCTCTCATATTTTGACTCTGTACTATTGGCTAGGTTAATGATATTATGATTAGAATTACCAAATATTCCATGGAGGCTACTTACATTATTTTTCAAAAAGCTGATATATGCGGTCTCTGATGTAAATCTTAGCTATATATAAACCTCAGTGGATAAGCATAAAGTTAGCAGTTCTAAACCACCAGTTGCTCCTTGGGGGAAAGATGAGGCTTTCTTTTCTTGTGGAAAGGTGGTCTCAGGAACCCACAGGGGTAGTTCCACTCTGCCTTAGAGGGTCGCAGAGTCAGAAGTGACTCCATGGCAGTAAGTCTGAATTATCTACACGGATTTCTAGGTTACACTTAATGGTAAACTCTGAGAACAATTAGCTCTTATGTCCTGATCAACATTTACTTTATCGAAGTAATCACTAAAGACATGAGCTATAGCAAAGTGTAGTGAAGAAATTGGGTAGTGCTCAATTATCAGAGAACAGCTTCTGGGGTTCTAAGGGCTTGTCTTCAAACAAGAAGCCATCTGAGGTGCCAACTAAGTCTGCATAGAAGCAACACGCTAAACTGTGTGATAAAGGATTGTTAGTAATAAAATCTGTTATCAAATACCTGGTTTGCAGAAGGCTAGGGATAACCGTGAAAGGCAGAATCCATTTGCAGAGTCCCCATGTGGACTAAGCCTTCATTGAATTCCTTGTGATCATTAAGGATGCTAAACAGTCTTGCTCTCAGAGTGCATTGGAAAGTGGATTATCTCCACCCTCTTCTAGCCATCTCATGGAGGGGCAGTATCCTTTATTTATTTATTTTTAATTTAAAAAACATTTTATTAGGGGCTCATACAACTGTTATCGCACATCAATTGTGTAAAGCGCATTTGTACATCATTCTCAAAACATTTTCTCTCCACTTAAACCGACATTAGGTCCTCATTTTTCCCCCCTCCCCACTCCCTCATGAGCACTTGATAGTTTATAAATAGTTATTTTGTCATATCTTGCCCTGTCCGACGTCTCCCTTCACCCACTTTTCGGTTGTCTGTCCCCCAGGGAGGAGGTCACATATAGTTCCTTGTAATCGGTTCCCTCTTTCCTACCCATTCTCCCTTTACCCTTCCTGTTTCACCACTCACACCACTGGTCCTGTAGGGCTCATCCGCCCTGGATTCCCTGTATTTTCAGTTCCTATCTGTACCAGTGTACATCCTCTGGTCTAGCCAGACTTGCAAGGTCGAATTCGAGTCATGGTAGTGGGAGCAGGGAGGAAATATTTAGAAATTAGAGGAAAGTTGTATTTCTTGTCGTTGCTACATCAAGGAGCAGTATCCTTTAGGGGACTGCCGGAGTGTGTCCTTCATGGAGATCACCACAGAGGGTCCCACAGTCATGAGTCATGTCCTGACTGCTTTGGTCAGAAGGTCCTGGACCAATCGTATAAGCTCTTCTAACATAATGTGTCCTGATTATAGTCTTATTCCCACTTGTTATCCCACCTGTAACTGAGATGTATTGTCTGCTGCCAATCATATGTGTTCTTTGCCTTCCCTTTTTAAAAAAGATCATTTTATTGGGGGCTTATACAACTCTTACCACAATCCACACATACATCAATTGTGTCAAGCACATTTGTACTTGTACTTATACTTGAGAATGACTCATCATTCTCAAAATATTTGCTCTCCACTTAAGCCTTTAGTATCGGCGCATTTTTCCCCTTTCCTCCCTGCTGCCCCCCCCTCCCTCATGAACCCTTGATAATTTATAATTATTTTGTCATGTCTTACACTGTACGACAACTTCCTTCACCCACTTTTCTGTTGTCCATCCCCCAGGGAGGAGGTTATATGAAGATCCTTGTAATCGGTTCTCCCTTTCTACCCCACCTTCCCTCCACCCTCCGGTATCACCACGGGTCCTGAAGGGATCAGCTATCTGTACTGGATTCAGTTTTTCCGGTTCCTAACTGTACCAGTGTGCATCTTCTGGTCTAGCCAGATTTGTAAGGTAGAATCGGGATCATGATCGTGGGGGGAGGAACCATTTAAGAATTAGAGGAAAGTTGCTGCTTCACTGCACGCTGACTGGCTCGTCTCCTCCCCGCGACCCTCCCTTCCCCCTTTTGATCCCTGTAACTCCATGAACCCTTGGACACCACTATAACGTCATGCTATTACTTTCACTCATCTAGATAATGTATCTTTATCTTGTCTTTTCCTGTTTAAGATTTAATAGTTTTCCTAAATCATACTTGAGATTTGTGGTTTCTTTTGAACCCTAAAATGCCTGCTCCTCCTACCAGACATGTGGGCCACTGCTTGCTGTGAACTAGCAAGTAGTTCCAGCAAAAGAATCTGCCTCTCTAACCGATAATGATCTACCTGTGACCCTCTTCCAGGGGACGGACAATAGAAAAGTGGGTGAAGGGAGACATCAGTCAGTGCAAGACATGAAAAAATACTTTATAAATTATCAAGGGTTCATGAGTGAGGGGAAAATGAGGAGCTGATAGCAAGGGATCAAGTAGAAAGAAAATTTTTGAAAAAGATGATAGCAACAAATGTACAAATGTGTCTGACACAATGAATAGATGTATGGATTCTGATAAGAGTTGTGCAAGCCCCCAATAAAATGGTTTTTTAAAAAAAGGAAATCTGCTTCTTTAACCACCATCCCTTTGCTTGTGTAGACAGGACCCCCAATGTGCTCACCTACAATCAACAAACTGATTCCCTGGGGTTCTTTCTAGAGTTGCCAATACCTCTTCTACATGAACTTTTGCTGCAGCAAGGCTATTGAAAATGGCTACAAACGGACCCCCCATGTGTTAGAGACAGGTCCTATAACCATCACTATTTTTGTTCCCCTGACCATCCCATTGCTCAGGCCACTGTAACAGGATGGAAATATTTTGGTGTGGACTCAGGTCTGCTTGCTCCCCCTTCTGGATGGCACTGAGGATTGTTGACTGAGGCTGCTGTGTCAGGAAGTAGGCATCTTGTATATACTACAGCAGTAGTCCTCATTTTACTTGTGGTGGATCTGATAGGAACCAACCAAATCTGCCACCTGAATTCTTGTACACTGACAGAAGGGTCCCTGAAGTGGGGTCTACTCCCATGGTCAGCAGTCTCCCTACCTCCCTCCACATTCTTTATAGCTCAGGCCTCTAAAATCAACAGGACAGAGCTCACTGGGTATTAACTCAGGCTAGTGAGTCACCACTTCTGGATGGAGGCTAGTGAGTCACCACTTCACTGAGGCTACTGTGTGCTAGGAAGCAGTTATCTTGAATAGAGGCTGCACTCAATCTAACGTGGCTCCGAGAATCTGAGTGACATGATAGCCTTTTGTGAAGAACCCATTGTAGTTTAACAGTCCTCCCTTCCTAGTAACTACTGGTTCCCAGGTTATTGCAAACTGCTACGATGGAATGTGCTCCCATAGTAAGCACTACCTGCCATCCTGTATTCCTCATAGTTCAGGGTTCTGAAACTTGTAGGGGTCAAGAGATCCCAAATCTCAAATATAATTGAGAATATTTATTGTCTTAAACAGGACAAAACCAAGACAGAGACAGCTGTCTCATCTCGATGAGGGAGACAGACTATCATTAGGGCATGAGGCCATAATGGTGTCCAAGGATTTACGGTGAACTGTTTGCATATATCGGTGAGTGCTGCAAATCTACTGCTCACAGTACTTGGCATCTGAATGTCTAACTGTATTTGGGGTTATGATTCCTGAATATGCTACTCTTATACCCCAATTTCCATTAAGAACTCACCTAGGCAAGGGCCTAAGGCTAGGTCACCCTGTCCTGAACTGGCTAGGTGGTAAGTTAGGTGCTGTCAAGTTGATTCCAATCCATAGTGACCTGATAAACAACAGAGTAACACATTGTCCAGTCTTGTGCCATTCTCACAATTTTTATGCCTGAGCCTATTGTTTCAGCCACTGTGTCAACCCATCTTGGTAAGGGTCTTCCTCTTTATTTAGGTTGCTAACAGCAACCTAACAGCAGGTAGAAACCACCAGCTGCTCCACGGGAGAAAGATAATCCTTTCTGCTCCTGTAAACAGTTTCAGTCTGTATATCAGTGAAGAGACCTCTGAAAAAGACATCAAGAAAACAATAGAATTACGATAGCCACACAAAAGATAAAGGACTTAGGAATAAATGGAACCACAGAAACAGAAGGTCTATGCAAAGAAAACTACATACCAGTACTTAAAGAAACCGAGACTCACACAAATGGAATTGTTCACGGATAGGAAGGCTTAATACTGTCAAATGTGAATACTACCAAAAGCAATCTATAAATAAAACATAATTCTGAGCCAAATTCCAACTTCGTTCTTTAAGAAATGGAATAACCAATTACAAACTTCATATGGTGAGGGAAGAGACTAGGAAATGCAAAGAACTCCTTAAGAGGAACAGAGTAGGAGCCCTTGCATTGCCTGACTCAAAATCTATTACACAGTCTTTTTTTTTTTCCCCGAAAGGGCTGAACTTACTCAAGAAACTGTGAATTTGATTTCCACTTACCCTTTAAGACAAAAGAGTAACTCGTGGTTTATTAAGAAAAAAATTTAAAACAAAAGGGCAATCAAGCACTTGTAGAACTTATATGAAACTACAATTCTTTTCTATTCCATTTAGTTACAAAATGTAAAACAAGTCTAGTTAGTTACTACGGACACCTTCCCCTCATAAAGAGCAGGAGACTTCTTCTGAAACTGCCTCAGAAATGGGAGGAGTGGTGATTTGTGGAGGTAACATTTTGTCTTCCTAAGTCACCCAAGAAAGGTCACTGGAATCAAGTTTCCTTCTTACACACTACCTTCTCAGTCATCCTCCCTGAGTCTCCTGGTGCAACAGGAGGTTCCGATCATTGCTGCAGCACTTCATTCTTCCTGCCCTATGCTTCTCTGAAACACAGTCGTCGTCTCTGGTCCACAGTGAAGTTTTCCTTTGTCTCAAATTCTTATTTTCCCTACACACAAAAATTTTAGTCTATATCTTATGTTATATGAGGAGTTAGTCAATCAAAAGCCTTGACTACACTGCACACACAAGAGCTTCTCTGGAGAGTCAGCTGATGCTTAATGAGCCTTTGCTTACAGCTAAACTTCAAGCTTTGCCCAAACTCCTTATACAGATGTGACTTCTCCCGTGTGCCCTCTGATGCAGAACTGACTTTCTACTAAAACCTTGCCCATATTCATTACACACATGCAGCTCCCTCCTGAGTGTCTTCTGGTCTGATGATGTAACTTTTGATTAAACACTCACGTACACTACTTACACACATATGGCTTGTTCCCTGCATGTATCCTCAGGGGTGTGATGAATGTGACTTTTCACTACATCCTTGTGAATACTACTTACACACATACAGCTCTTCTGAGTGTGTCCCCATGTTATGAGTTAACCTGTGTTTAAAGCCTCACCCACAGTTCATGTACACATGTGGCTGCTCTCCTGAATGTCAAGTGTGTGATGAGTTACCCTGTGGCTAAAGCTTCACCCACAGTCCATATACACACGTGACTTCTCCCCTGAGTGTGTCCTCTGGTGTGTGATGAGATAAGACTTTTGGCTAAAGCCTCGCCCACACTCCTTACACACATGTGGCTTCTCTCCTGAGTGTATCCTCTGATGTCTGATGAGATTTGACTTTTGGTTAAATCTTCGTGCACACTCCTTACACACATATGGCTTTTCCCCTGAGTGTGTCCTCAGGTGTGTGGTGAGCGATGACTTTTGGCTAAATCCACGTGTACACACCTTACACACATACGGCTTCTCCCCGGAATGTGTCCTGTGGTGTATGATGAGTGTTAACCTGTGGCTAAATCTTCGCCCACACTCCTTACACATGTATGGCTTCTCCCCTGTGTGTGTCCTCTGGTGTATAATGAGAATTGACCTTATTCTAAAGCCTTGCCCACACTCCTTACACACATGTGGCTTCTCACCTGAGTGTGTCCTCTGGTGCATAAGAAGATTTGTTTTGCAGGTAAATCCTCGGCCACACTCCTTACACACATATGGCTTGTCTCCTGAGTGAGTCCTCAGGTGTCTGTTGAGAGTTAACCTGTGACTAAAGCTTCGCCCACAGTCCATGCACATGTGTGGCTTCTCTCCTGAGTGTGTCCTCAGGTGTGTCATGAGAGTTAACCTGCGGCTAAAGCTTCGCCCACAGTTCATGCACACATAAGGCTTCTCCCCTGAGTGTGTCCTCAGATGTGTGATGAGATGTGACTTTTGGTTAAAGCCTCGCCCACAGTCCATGCACACATGTGGCTTCTCCCCCGAGTGTGTCCTCTGATGTCTGATGAGATGTGCCTTTTGGTTAAATCTTCGTGCACACTCCTTACACACATATGGCTTCTCCCCTGAGTGTGTCCTCAGGTGAGTGATGAGATGTGACTTTTGGTTAAATCCTCGCCCACACTCCTTACACACATGTGGCTTGTCCCCTGAATGTGTCTTCAGGTGTGTGATCAGATGTGACTTTTGGCTGAATCCTCGTCCACACTCCTTGCACACATATGGCTTTTCTCCAGAGTGTGTCCTCAGGTGTCTGATGAGAGTTAACCTGTGACTAAAGCTTCGCCCACAGTCCATGCACACGTGTGGCTTCTCTCCTGAGTGTGTTCTCTGATGTCTGATGAGAGATAATCTGTGACTAAAGCTTCGCCCACAGTCCATGCACATGTATGGCTTCTCCCCTGAGTGTGTCCTCTGGTGTGTAATGAGATATGACTTTTGGCTGAAGCCTCGCCCACACTCCTTACACACATGTGGCTTCTCTTCTGAGTGTGTCCTCTGATGTCTGATGAGATGTGACTTTTGGCTAAAACCTCGTGCACACTCCTTACACACATAAGGCTTCTCCCCTGAGTGTGTCCTCAGGTGTGTGATCAGAGTAAATCTGTGGCTAAAGCTTCGCCCACAGTCCATGCACACATGTGGCTTCTCCCCTGAGTGTATCCTCTGGTGTTTGATTAAATATGACTTTTGACTAAAGCCTCGCCCACACTCCTTACACACATGTGGTGTCTTGCCTGAGTGTATCCTCTGGTGTGAAAGCAGATTTGCATGGCAGGTAAAGTCTCGCCTGCACTCCTTGCACACATGTGGTTTTTCTCCTGAATGCATCCTCTGGTGTGTGGTGAGAGTTGACTTTTGGCAAAAGCTTTGCCCACACTCCATGGACATGTGTGGCTTCTCTCGGAAAATCTTCCTCTGATTTGTGATGAAATATGATTTTAGGCCAAGCTCTGGCTCATCCTTTCTGTAGTTGACTGTTCCAAATCTTGAGGCTTCTAATTCCTTGACCTCTTTGTCTGTTTCCACACAGCTGTTCACTCTTTGGATTGAGTAGGGCTCTTTTCGTATCACTGTGTTCCCTTCTCTGGGGTTTGCTGGCCATCTCCAGGCTGGGCTGGATTTCTTTCTCTCCCCTGTGCTTCCACACAAGGGTTTGGAGACATCTTTTCTTTCCTGATCTTCCGTGTTTCCACTTCTGCAACTCTGACCAGAATCTTGCTGCTCCAGTTGCTTACGATGCCCTGGGCTGGCATCCCTTGGTTGGAAGTGATTCTCTGCACACAAGTTGGGGAATATCTGAAGCACATGCTGGCTGAGGACTTGCTGACAGGAGAGAGCCAGGAGGCAAGAGGAACAGGGAGAGATTTCTGTTTTGGGTTCTGTAGGAGAGAGAAAGTTTTCCGTTAGTGCAGTTTTAAAGGGGGCTCCTTGGGCTGTGATGCCTTCTCTTATGACAAATAGTATCTCGCGGCTAGAGTCCAGGGGTGCGGTGGGGCTAGGGTAGAAACAGTTATGAGTCTGACTACTAGTTAAAAGGATAATGATTTTACTGGAATAAATCAGGGAACCGATAGAGAGGTCTGAGAGGCCAGGCCCAATCCCAACTACATGGACAGTCCCTCCTCCCCCCAGAAGAATTCACTTCAGAGGACAGCACTGAAGCTAAAGCTCAGGGAGAAGGACATGTCTGAACAGAGCACAATGGAGCAAACGCAGAGGGAGAGAGAGTGGACCACATCCTGGGCCCACCAAGCCCTGAGGACCATATTCCTGCTCAGAGCAGCCTGCACAGAGAGGACTATAGGGCCGGCCCCACCAGGAGACAAGATGTCCCTCACTGACCCATAGAACAACAAGAGACAGCCATGGAGACACAGTGCAGGAACTGTGTCCCATCTGACCCCACCACACAGAGGCGAAACACTAAGGGCATGCAATAGAACAGCAAGGGGAGCAGAGCAGTGAAGTCCCCGGGAATACCAAAAATAGACTTTGGAGCCAGGGGGCTCCCCATCAGACTAGACCAGAAAACACTCCTAAAGGTCAACAAACAGACCTTGAACTATTTATAGGATTTTCTTTTTTTTGTCATTGGGTTTTGTTTTGTTATGGTTGTTTTGTTCTCTTGTTTTTGTGCTTATTATTATCTCTGCACGTCTATCTAGATAAGATAGGCAGGATAAACAATCCAGAGGAGAAAACAACTGGACCGACGGTTCCGGGGAGGACCTGGGAGATGGGGAGGTGGGGGGAAGGGAACAACAAGTGATCTAAAATCTATGACGAGGAGGGTATAGGAGGCCTGGTAGGGCGTGATCAAGGGTAATGTAACCGAGAGGAATTACTGAAACCCAAATGAAGGCTGAACGTGATAGTGGGACAAGAGGAGAGTAAAAGGAAATAGAGGAAAGAACTAGGAGGCAAAGGACATTTATAGAGGTCTAAA